ATCACAATGTTCATCCTAGCTAGTGAGGCAAGAAAATAAAAGGCATACATATTGAGAAGGAGGAAATAAAACTGTCTTTGTTCACAGATAATATGATTATCTATTAAGGAAACCCCAAAGAATCAAAAATAAAACTCCTGAAACTAATAAGCATTTACATCAAGTTTTCGGGATAAAAAATTAATATACAAAAGTTACTTGCTTTCTTATATACCAGTAATAAACAACTGGTATTTGAAATTAAAAATACAATGCTACTACTTATATTAGTTAGCACCCAAATCAATGAAATACTTAGCTATAAATCAAACAAAATATATACAAGATTCACATGTGGAAAACTACAAAACTGGTGAAATAATCAAAGAAGATCTAAAGAAAGAGTTATTCCATGTACATGAATAGGAAGACTTAATATTGCCAAGAGGTCATTTCTTCCCAACTTTACCTACAGACTCCACACAATCCCAATCAAAATCCCAGCAAGTTATTTTGTGGCTACTGATGAACTGATTCAAAAGTTTACACGGAGAAGCAAAAAGCCCAGAGCAGTCACTACGACATTGAAGGAAAAGAACAAGGTCAGAGGACCCACATTACCTGACCAGAAGATTTACTATAAGCTACAATAATGAAGATAGTGTGGTATTGGAAAACAGAGACAAACAGGTCAATGGAACAGAACAGAGAGCCCAGAAACAGACCAACACACAGTCAACTGATCTTTGACAAAGGAGCGAAGGCCACTCAGTTTAGAAAGGGAAGTAAGATCAGTAAATGTTGCTGGAATAACTGGATATCCACATAAGAAAAAACAAAACTTTAAACCTTCCACAAATATTAACTCAAAATAGATCATAAACCTAAAAGTAAAATGTAAAACTATAAAACTCCAAGAAGATAACATAGGAGAAACCTAGATGGCCTTGAGTTGGCAATGCTGTTTTAGATACAAAACCAACAATCCATGAGAGAAATCCCAGACAAGCTAGACTTCATTAAAATTTTTCTTTCAAATTAAAATTTTCTTCTATGAGAAAGAAATTGTCTAGAGGATAGAAAGACAAGCCATAGAACTGGGAGAAAATATTTGCAAAATACTAATTGATAAAGGACTGGTACCCAAAATGCAAAGAATTCTTAACACTCAATAATAAAAAAATGAACAATCCAATTTTTAAAACATGGGCAAAAATGTGGACAGACACCTCACCAAGGAAGACTATACAGAGGGCAAACAGCATATGAAGACACTCAACAGCAAACATCATTTGGGAGTTGCAAATAAAAAGAACAAGGAGATACCACTATATACTTGTTTAGAACGGATAAGATCCAAAACATGGACAACACCAAATGCTGAGGAAGGTGTGGAGAAACAGGGACAACTCGCTTAATGCTAGTGCAAGTGCAGAAATGGTACAGACACTTTGGAAAACAGTTTGGCAGTTTCTTACACAACTAAACATACTCTCATGATCCAGCAATCATGTTCCTTGGTATTTACCCAAAAGAGTGGAAAACTTACGACTACACAAAACTTGCACAGGTATGTTTACAGTGGCTTCATTCATAACTGCCAAGATTTGAAAGCCCCCAAGATGCCCTTCAGTAGGTAGAGGGATAAACTGTAGTGCATGAAAATGATAGAACTGTAAGAAAGAAAAAAAAAGAAAGGAAAGAAAGGAAGGAAAGAAAGGAAAGGAAAGGAAAGGAAAGGAAAGGAAAGGAAAGGAAAGGAAAGGAAAGGAAAGGAAAGGAAAGGAAAGGAAAGGAAAGGAAAGGAAAGGAAAGGAAAGGAAAGGAGAAAAGGAAAGGAAAGGAAAGGAGAAAGGAAGGAAGGAAGGAAGGAAGGAAGGAAGGAAGGAAGGAAGGAAGGAAGGATCAAGCCAGGAAAAGACACAGAGGGACCTCAAGTTCGTGTTGCAAAGTAAAAAGGAGCCAATCTGAACAGGTTGTATACTATATGATTCCAACTATATGACATTCTGGAAAACTATGGAGACAGTAGAAAGATCAGTAGTTACCAGAAATTCAGGGGGAGAGAGAAATGAATGATTAGTTGGAACACAGGGGGTTTTTAGGACAGTGAAAGTATTGTGTGTGATGCTATTAAATTATTGGGTTGGCCAAAAAGTCCATTCAGGTTTTTTCCATAAAGTAGAAGACATTTTTTATTTTCACCAATAACCTTACTGATTTGGATACTTTGAATATGTCAACTATCTCCTGCTATTGGCTTCTAACGGGTAGAGGCCAGGGGTGCTGCTAAACATCTTTCAGTGCATAAGATAACACCACAGCAAAGAGTTGTTTGGCCAAAATGTCAATAGTATCAAGAAACTTTACAAACCACTTCTGGCATGTTCGATCAGTCACAGCACCTTCTCCATACACTGCACAAATCTTCTTTGCATTTTAGTTGTGCTTTTATCTTTCTTGAAAAACTAAAACATAATACACCAAAAGTGTTATATATCTTCTTCCATCTTCAATATTAAAATGGCAGCACAAAAATTCACCAATTTTGATAAGTTTGTTTTTAATGCATGCTGATATGTGAGCTGTCACAATACAAATTGTTTCAAACGAAGTTAAAGACAACTAAGCACTACTAGAGCGAGCATACAAAAAAAAACTTTTTGGCCAACCAAATAGATTCATATATATATCATTAATTACTTGTCAAAACACAAAATATACAACACAAAGAGTAACTCTCATGTAGATTATGGACTTCAGTTAATCATATGTATTAATATTGGCTCATCAATTTTAAAAATGCAAGATGTTAAAAATGGGGAAAACCTGTAGGAGGGGTAGGAACTCTGTACTTCCTGCTCAATTTTTCTGTAAACTAAAATGCCCTCCTCAAAATAAAGTTAAGAATTTTTAACAAGCAAACCGTGTCGATTATAAAAATAATAAAAAAAATAAACCATTAAGAAAAGGAAATAAATCTCTAAAATTCGTGACACAGTTGGAATTCTGCTTAGAACAGAAAGCCAACTGAGGCTTTTGTAAGAGAGTATCTGTTACCCCGCAGTATTAAAATGAACTCCGGACAGCTCTCTGATAACCTCTCATTTGGCTGCCCCCAAACAATTGTGTTTACAGTAAATAGCAAGATTCCACTGCTAGCAAACTCTGAAATTATCTTCCTTATACGCAATTTATTTTAACAATAGGCTCTGGCCCTGGCTGGCGTAGCTCAGTGGACTGAGCACAGGCTGTGGACCAAAGCATAGCAGGTTCGATTCCCAGTCAGGGTACATGCCTGGGTTGCAGGCCACGGCCCCCAGCAACCGCACATTGATGTTTCTCTCTCTCTCTCTCTTCTCCCTCCCTTCCCTCTCTAAAAGTAAACAATAGGCTCTGGAAAGCCTCCCTTTCTTTCAGATGCAAACAGAAAGTAATTGAATTAAATACATTTTTTAGAATGTTCTTGAAGACTAAATCCTATTTCTCCTTTATTAAACAGCTCTCTCTGCTAGTCTCCCCACCCCCCAGCAGGATTCATAATTCCATCTCTTCTCCCACGGAACAGAGTCCCGACCTCTAGCGACAGGTTCTTCACCGTCAGCTGGCCAAACCCTGATCCAGCGTGTCCTCCCTCTGAGAGCCCGAGGACAGGGACTGGCACAGTCATTCCATGCCAAGGCCGCATCCTAAAAAACATTCCCAATCAGAGTGTGTGCCGATGTGCGTGATGGACACCTAACTCATGCCGGGAAAATGACAATGGAGTTCCCGGCTTTAGGTGCTGCGGCATCCGGCATCCGGCACTGTAAGTCGTGCGTTGTGTGCGTCTCCCCTTCCCTCCCCATCGCATTTCCTGCAGTGCCCCGCTCTGACTTCCTGAGCTGACTTCACTCTCAGAAAGGCTTTCCCTAAGTTGTAGCAAAGAGAGTAACCAGCAGCTCCAGCTCCACAAACCCACAAAAAGGAAAAACACCTTTGCAACGGTTTCAGGGAACATAGGGCTCCTCCGTAAACTGATCCTTGTGACCCTGACTAGCCAGGCTGATGTCACATGCCCATAACAGAGGCCGTGGGGTCACCTCCGCTAACCACACAGGCTGCACACAAGGCAGGGTGACTGCCCAGGGAAAATCAAGGTAGTTTGTTGAAGGAGGAAAAGGATGCTGGGCAGGCAAAGTCCACAGACGTGCAGGACTCCACAGGTCCTCAAGACTGCTGACTTGCATCCTTCTAGTGAGTATTTATTAACCATTTATTATGTCTAATGCTGAGTTTCCCACTGAATGTCCAACAGAAAATGTTTGCAGTACCCGTCCCTGTGACACAATGTACTTTCTCAAAATGAATTCTTTTCCGCCTGATTGCTGCATGTGAGGTTGTGATGCTGTTTTGTTCTCCTGGTCCACTATTCTGTACTAATTTCCATTCCTGTTACTTTCAGGACATTTCTTCTCCTTTGTCCCATGTATCTCGATGCCAAAGGCACAGTGCTGAAACCAAATGTGTTGCCAGCGTTTGTTTGGGGGGGAGATAAAAGTAAAATCTTATTGAACAACCTCAAGGAGCACAGACAGACTCCCCCCAGCATGGCAGGTCCCCGAGATCCACCCTTCGGTGTGAAATCCCAAAAGGGGGCAAGTCTCTGAAAGTGCTGGGGCCAGCCCAGCTTTCCAAGGGATACTGTTTTCTCTCCAGAGTAAGGCCAGGATCACTGAGGTTGTTAGGGGCGGCCTCTGGTAGTGGCCTCTCGCATATTTGTGTTTGAGCTCTCCCTCCCTCCTCTGGAAGAAGAGGATGAGAGAGGGCGGGCAGAGGAGAGGGAGAAGGGAGACAGCAGTGCCCTGTCCACAGGCGTGTATCAGGGTACAGCATCTGCCCTTCATCTGATGCTAGGAATCTCTCAAATAACTGGCATGATCATTTCGGGCTGTCTCAAAAACACTCTGTGGAATGAACAAAACAACTTTTCCCTGTCTGACACCAGCCACTTAGTCCAGCCTCTCTTATCTTATACCAACCTGATTTTGCTTAAGTTATGGTCTGTCTCAGGCTTTCACAGCAGCTTTCTTTTATGGATTTTCCATCCAGCAAATGTTTCTGTTCCACAGCTGGGCAGATCCGACCACAGCATGCTTGGCTATGGGCCGCAGCAGCTCACCCAAGCAGCTCCAACCTGGAGGGGCAAAGGCCAGAAGCCATTAGAAGGAAGCAGACTCATGAATTCTCTCTGTCTCCATCTCTCTCTCTGTCTCTGTCTCTCTCTCTGTCTCTGTCTCGCTCTCTCTTTCATATATATGTTTGGCAGGATAACCCCAAACATCTCTTCAATGTTTAAAATCCTTAATGAGCTCAGACAACAGTTTATAAGGTGCCCTGAAGACAAGCATGAGCTATTGTGCAGGAAGGATTAAAATATTTAATCATTACTGAAAAGGCTTGGTCAAATGATTGTGCTCTGTTTGTGGAAAATTTAAAAGCCAGATGTTTTAATTAACCACAGAAAACACAAGCTACAACTAAAATTTCACGAACACATTGATCTGCCCCGTGGAAAACCACAGGAATGTTCTGGCAAGGCTCAGCCAGAATTCTTGGGACACAGAGGGCTGGAATCATTCCCCTTAGGAACTTGAACAGAAAATTAACTTGCTCAATATGTTTTTTTTTTAAAGTAAAATGAAACCCAGATTTAATCTCAGTCAAATATAAAAACATTTTAAGACATCAAAAGGCACCACCAAAAGACACATGAGGGAAAGGTCATAAAAATATTCCAGCATGGCTCAGGATTCAGAATGTATTTCCAATGCAGAATGAATGGTGGAAGAGGAAATTTCAGACATTCAATAATCCAAAGGAAAAACGAATCATCTTTCATTTTCTAATCAAGGAAAACGATATATGCAAGCAATATTCGATATGTGAATCATAAATGTTATCAAATATAAAACACATTCAAGCAAAAAAAATCTTTTAACTCCCCGACCTCATGCCAAGAATGAGGCCTGGCCCACACTAGCTATCATGCTTCCGCCCGAGGACTCGGGGCGTCCAGAAAAACAGCGTTAAAACGATGTACATCGCAGCAAGCAATTCCAGTGCAGAAATCTAAAATGAGGGAATCTTATAAAAGCAGTTAGTGAACAACAACTAGTAGATTAGGAAGTCTTCATTCATTAATTATTATAATAGATATGATAACATCTATACCTGTTAATTTGAAAGCCTATTAGAGAAGGAACAGGACAAATGTTCTTTTCAGATACTAGGTCCATAATTCTGCTTCTCTAAGTCAAAGCAGACCCTGTCACCAGTATGCCAAGCATAATATTACATTAATCTCTACCTTCACTTGAAACTTTAGTCCCAAAAGTAAGTTCAAAGAGAACATGGAAAGTAAAAAGCAAGATGTCAATTTTTATATGTATGGTTTGATCCAAATTTTGTTCTACAAACCAAGTGTATATAATCTAAAGGCACCACAGTTTGAACAAAGGCTATTTCTGGGTCATGGGGTTAGAAGATATTTATATTTCCTTCTTAGTGTTTCCCAGGTTTTCTATAATTAACATGTATTCCTTATAGATTTAGAATATTTTTAAAAAAGGTTTTTATTAAATACTGTGGGAACAGAAATCAGAAAAGGGGTGTGACACTAGTCTAGCTTGATTTGTAGGCTTCCCCTTATCCAACAATAAGAGCGGATACATTGTCTTCTTTACTAAACTCAGTAATTCTTAACTTAGAGGTTCAAAACCCAGGTGCCCATAACACTTCCAGGGCTAACAACAGCACTTTGCCAGAAATAAGGAAGTTTTATTTGTTATTCTTCAGTCTTGCAACATAGAAACAAAAACACCATGGTTATTTCCCTGCCTGACTCATGCATCCAAAAAGAGTACCTCCTGGTGTTACAGTTCCACAGAAGCAGAGCCCGCAGTGAGGACCGCCACGCTCATTGCTGATACTCTCAGCATCTCAGAAAACACAAATCACAACGGTGGAATCTTGACACTCCGGGACTTGGCAAGGCAGCACTCCAAGAAGCCCAACCCTGTCGGTTTACAAAGGACACTGCTGCCCAGAAAGGTCATGTGTCCTTCCCGAGCCACACAGCCAGCACGGCAGAGATGAGGGTCCAGACCACCTGCCTCCGCTTTGGCCAAGAGCTCTTTCCACAACGTCTCCACACTCACTCTTCGAAAAACAAGTTTGTAGGAACCACCCGCACGTGTTACCAATTCGTATCAGCAAAACCAGAAGAACAGGACAGAAATTCGCTCCACCAAAAGTGAAAGGCATGCGGGAAAAAAGCCAAGACTCAACTGCAGGCTCGCAAAGACTACCCAGAGCACGTTCGGAGGGAGGAACAATGGGCGCAGTGTGCTCGGGCAGCAGGTGTCCCAAACAGAAACTGCCTATCACACGGAAAGCGCGCTGGTCCCAGTACTTGCTCTGTTGATAACAGCACGTTCCCACTGCTCAAGGCAGGACAAACGATTTTCAACACGATGCAACTACACTGGCACCAATCTGCCCGACAGAGGTAGGTAGGGTGCGTGCCCACCCCAGTGTTGGAAACAAGTGATGTACGACACCTTCTTTCCAAAAGGACTCAAGTCTTAGAGGAGACACATGGATGATTTCAAAAATTAAGAAAACAAGAGTCACTAAGAACTAAAATAAAATAATCCGAATGCCTCATATCTTATGTCTGATGCAATTTTGAGAGTAAGCAGGACTTTTCTCTTTTCTTCTAAATTATTCATTTGAAATATTGCTCACCTCCAGTTCTTTCTTAGCATCTACCTTGTGTGCACACCACACCAATCAGAAATCTAAGAGCCTCACGGAATGTGAATAGCCTGCAAAGAGGGGGGGAGAAGAGGGCAGATGGCAATGACAAACTCAGAGGCACTCCCTGAAAGGCCTTTGTTGAGCTCCCTTCTCTCGTCACCCTTGCCTACTGTGCAGCAGGACAACAAAGGCGTGAACTGTGAAGCTGCTAATAAAAACAGCCGCCCTGAGGATGATGTGATCTCGCTTTGTCAGAGCCAGAGCAAACACAATGGCTGTGTCCCGCCTCCTCTGAGAAGTCAGGCACCAGACCAGAAAAGAAAATGTGTTTTTTCCACCCCAAACTGCTCCTTGCATCCCCACCACACGATATGGGGCAAAAGTAGGTTTTATAGTTGAAAGTACGTGAAACAGAGTTTATTCTTGTATTATTATTTGTTATTGTATTATTTTCCATAAGAACAACTGGGAGCCTACTTTTGCCCCACCTGTACATTTCCATGGTTGGATCCTGGAGGAAAAACTATATTGTTAGTTTATTCCCATCTATACCTCAGTTCTAATGCTAAGGGTAAATATCCATGGTGGGCACAAGGGATTAGATGCTTGCTGCTATTTCCCAATGAAATTAAAGCTTCGTGGTAAGCATTGTTCAAGGACCCCTTTAAAGTCATTGGTAAGGTAATGTCAGTAAGTTCACATCTAGCACTCTGGTAGAATGAAGTCCGACCCACTAATCAAACTGAGTACAATCTTACTGAAGTCACCAAGTTCTCTTTCTTGATAGAGAATACGCAAAAACTAGAGTTAGAGCACATACACAGGTTTTGAAATCCTTTCTTACTTAGAACCTTGGCTGTGTGTTGTTTGGTTTTTAGCTTCAGTGAATGCCTTTGGGAAAATGTGTTACCACTGTGTCAAAATCTTAAAAGTTTGGCCAGTGTTTTATTTATTCTATTCTAATACCACAGGGGAAGTTTCTCCCTCAAAGGGACCGATTCCAGAAATACCAGCCAAGCCAATTCAACACTTCTGAAATTCCTATCTCAAAATGACCAGGGAGGCCAGGCAAAAATATACTAAAGAATGTTCTTCTCATAGCTTTGGAAATATGGTTTTAAAAACTGAGATTCACAGTATCAACAAATTTATATTTTAAAATGTTTGGGAGAGGAGAGTATAAATTCTATGAAATAATGAGGGCTAGGTTCCCCCCACCCTCCAAAGAAAGGTACCCATCACAGGCAATGGAATGAAAATAATCTCTTAATGAATAACCCAATGTGACACCCAACACATTTTGTGGCTGATGAAGAAGCCATGGCAATTTAGAAAAGGTTTCGCATAGTAACCTCCCCTGTCATACTCTTGAGTAAAGGGAATTTCAACTAGAGGGCAGAGAGTGGAAATTTATGCTTATTTAATGTTTTAAAGACTGTTCTGGAAAAAACAAGGATGAAGAAATTAGCACATGTAGAAGTTAGGGTCCCAGTTCTGCTACTGATGACCCAAGGCTTTCTGGGATGACTAACATATTCTCTTTAACCTCTGTCCCTCATTTGTAACACTGGGACGATACTAGCAGCCAACTTCATGGGATTGTCTACTGATGACACCAAATGCTGGGGGGGGCGGGGGGGGCGGTGTAAGGGCACTAAGTGGTAATGGGAAGAATATGTAATAAAGATTATATATTTAAAAATAAATAAAAGCAGTACAGAAATTTTTAAGGCACTATGTATTCATATGAAGTCAACAAATATTTACTAAGAAACTGCAAAGCTGCCAGACATGGCACTGTGCATACAATCCTAGGGACCGAGGTTAAGGGGCACGGTGTGATTTGTAAGTGGCACAGGTTGCTGTGGGAACGTGTAGGCAGCCTCCAATCCGAATGCCGGACAAACATCTGGTAGTGAAAAGTGGTAGATGTGGTTTTTCCTTGTGGTTGTCTAATTTTTAGCTCATTCTTTTAGCACATTTTTTACTGAACACTCACCATGTGTCAGGCACCGTTCTAGGTGCTGGGGATTTAACACTGAACACAGTGTCTGCCCTAATGGAGCCGACATTTCAGGCGTTCCTCATCCATGCGACACATGAAATAAACTAAACAGATTTAAGCAGCAAAGCTGCTTCTGCTGCCATACAATGATTTAACCAAAATATTGCCACACAAGAGTTAAAAGGCATATTCTAATTGATCTAAATACAGGGAGCATTTTATTTGTTATTTTAACCTCCAGGCCACATTTTACAATATGCTGAGTAACTGACATCATATAAAAGGTGCTCCTATATGATGTTGAAGAATCACAAATTGTGTATGTGTTGGCATGGAACAGAATACTCCTCCTGCACACACCGCCCACCCCC